AAAAACAGAATTTATTAACTTTTATTGAAAAATTGATGCTTGATTTTTTTAAAGTAAATAACTTCATCATTTTTATTAAAATTGTGAAAGAACATCCTTTCACGGAAAGGTCAGTTTTGATATAGTATCTAAAAATTTAACTAGATACAAATTTGAAAATAAATTTCGTTAGATCATCAAAATAATTATACTTATTTTTAATATTATTTTAGTAACTAGTTGGAACATTCAAATGTTACTAAAATGTCAAAATTTGTTTGCTGCATTATTCATTATGTGAATGTTTTATATGAGAATTTTAACAGTTCAACAAAATTATTTTTAGGTTGTATCTAATTTTAGATTCCAACAAAAGCATACTTTCCCTGTTGCTTCTACCTGAAAACCATAATAGATTGTTTATTAATTAATTAAATTATTAATGATTATGAAAAGATATCTTATCTCGAAAATATTTTTTATTTCTTTGTTTTTTATATACATTTCTTTGTATAATTAAAATTTAATATGTATGAAAATGTAAAATAAGATATATTTAACTAATGTTGAATAAGTATTAATTTCCATTTTGCACAGTTTCGTATTGTTTTCACATATACGAGAACACAGATAAATTATTGGACTTATTTTACATAACGGATATGTTCCATGTCGCATTGAGAAAAAGAGCATTCACCGTATTAACATCGTGTTGAATGATGAATTGCTAGTACTATACTGTACCGACGCGTTTCGGTTGATTGCGCCGCGAATAAAGAAATAGTTAATCGCTTACATAGAGTTAACAGCCGTATCAAATCCATTGATCAAAGTAGTGTCTCGTATGATCATTAATCATTGTTTGTCGACTGCTTTACATTGTGTTACGTATTGTCAGTTTCCGAGCACTGCTAAAAAAGTAACTGAGTGCCTATAAGAGTACTTGCGTGTCCACATATGCATAAAAAAAATTTGAATTTTATGCAGCTTGCTTATTAAACCCGCCAGTAAAGGATAAAACAAAGTACAAGTTTAAAGCGATTATAAAAGATACAGTTCCTACAATATATAAACAATATTTAATTTAATGACACAATCCTTTAATTATTATTCCGAATTATTGCATTCCGCAACTTGGCCAATTGCCATTTATCATCGCATTAAAATTACGCGAGTCATGCATATAGAAATTTTAATCAGTGACGTTAATCTCATTACTTGAGCTGGTATGCAAGCTTAACTTTACTCACAAACGCAAAAATAACGCTAGTCGTTTAACCTTCTAAAACTTGTAGAATTAACACAAAATTAAAAATTATTTACAGTACAATAATTGAAATAAAGGCGCAGCTTTTAGTACAACGTAAAAGCTATTTAAAAACATAAATATTCAAATTTAAATTTACATTGGACCATGCTAATTTTTTAAGCTGATCCCAAGAATCTCGGTAACTATTTTCTATTTTCATTTCGCGTTTCCGTATCGGATTAATTGTAAGAATTCTCTCACAAAAGCTCTTACGTTGCTGGGTGCAGGCAGTGGACGCTCAACATCGCGAATAAACGAGCGATCACCTACCGGTGTTCAACCGGCCGGGGAGAACGAAAGCGACAAATTGCAGGAACTTTTTCGATTAAAGTCTCGCTTGCTCGGCGCGATTCAAAACCTTTCTCGGTCAAGTTTCCACTCTCAGAGACACGCAATCCGGCATAAATAAGGACGTTCCTTCGCGAAAGGATAGCGAAGCTGGAGAAACAGCTGTAAAAGGGAAAGGCTTTGTCTCTCTGCTGAATTTCACATTAACAATGGTAGAACGTAAAGAGAACGACCATTCAACAACAATTGCGACATGCAAGGTTACGTCATTGTCAAATTACAACGAGAGAGAGGGAAAGAAAAATGCTTTGCTGCGGAAAATCGTGGACAGTCACATTCCAATTAAGTAGTTACAGCAGCGTGAATTGAATCTTTAATAGGATCCATTTGACAAGATTGCCAATTTAAATTATTCTTTGTGGTGGCTTTTATCCCTCTCTTATCTTTTTTTGCTTCCTCTATTCTTGCTAATATCCTTTTACTCTCAAAAGTCATCACAGCAGAATACCATGAAAGATATCAGTCGGTCTTGCGTAAGAAAAGTCACGTTAAATTCGGCACAATTTGATCATCCGTTAAAATAAAACTAATAAAGAGAGACCAGTTATCAAATAATACTTAGAGAACTTATATTATTCCCATAGGACACATGGAGTGGCGATAATACAATATGTTCAGGGCAATATCGCCATAAAAGCATACGCTTTTGTTCCGTGCGGTCACGTCTGTCGTGTACAGAACACAAAAAGGAAATGCTAAAAATTTCCGCTGTAAAATATTTACCGGACAAACGTTTGCCGCTCTAGCTGTCAAGTAGCCTTTAAAAGCGCGAACTGGAAGTCATATAAGATATAACTTCAACGCGATCGTCATCAGAACCATAGAATTGTCAACAAATTCGTTATAACTTTTATAATCATACTGCTTTTTTAACTTTCGACACTCTCTCTCTCTCTCTCTCTCTCTCTCTCTCTCTCTCTCTCTCTCTCTCTTTTTTTATTTTACAAATACCATTACTATTACATCTAGCTTTGATATTTTAAGAGGATATAAAATCGTAATCATGTTACAAATGCTATTAACTGTGTCGTCATCTCTCAATATTTACTGCTCTGCTGGAACACTCTGAATCGCCACTTGCACCTCGCACAAAATGCTCGCTCGAATAGTCTCCTTTTTCCGCTAGTTTCTCACAAAAATAGGAACGTCGAGTACGAGAGCAATTTTCCGCAAGACGTCTCTGCAGCATGCAGTTTCACGCGGAAACTTTTCTCCCTCGAGAGAAAAGGAGAAAAGGTATATTTCTGCCTGCAATTAGTGCACTTTAACGAAGTCATTGTCTCGTTGCATTCTTCACACTTCTTTTCAACTTGAAATGCAATTTTACGAAAAGGACAGGCCTCATTATAAGAAACTGTTATATCTAATAATTTATCAATGTGCAAGTGATGGACGCCATTTTATGACATCGATACAAGATGAATCAAAAGTATGGAAATAATGAAATTATGACATTAACACAAAGCATGAAATAGGATATTAAGTACTATGTAAATTGTTCCAAAGTTTGTGATCTATTTTTTGTTTCCAACAAACAGAAAAATTGTTTATACTCTACAAATTTTCTTAATTTTCTTTTATGATATTATCATAATATTAGGTGTTGGAATTAATTCGTAGCGTTTTACAAGTGATGGGAAGTACTTTCATTAATGTATTTTTTAATGCTCATGTGAAATAAATAACATTCTTTCATTAAAAAACGCTACGAATTAATTCCAACACCTAATAATATTTCCTCCATGTTTATAAAAACAAATTTGCAAATTTGCAGGTTGAAATGTTCAATTTAACCAAAAAAAAAAAAAAAAAATCAAGCGTTGATAGATATGAAGTGCGTTATCAAGATAGGTCGACGGTTCTGCACAAATATTTATTCGGTAAAATTTGTTATTCTGTTGTTTGCACAAAGTATGTACGCACCACTCTCGCGAGAATCGATAATTTTGGCTCATTTGTGATTAACTTATCTTCTGCCGCGAAAAAAGTTCGCATAAAATCGTGCGAATGAAGAGTGGCCGTGCCAGATGAGAGCAGAGATAAAAAGAAGTCGAGAAAAGAAGAAAAACGACTTGAGTAGTGATGGAGAATCAGCGATTAGTTAGGACAAAGAAGCAAGGTGCAAGGGCAGTAGAACTGGCAAAATTGAAGAGTTCTCGTTAACCTAAGGAGATGCTCTCTTCTTTCGCACTACAGCGAACGATTCACGACTTTGCGTTGGTCATTTTTCTCGAGAAATTTCTAGTGTTTCGAAAAGCATGTCATCGTGATTGACATATTTTTTATCTTGGATGTACACTTATTAGCATTCAATTAATAACTTTTTGTAGCAAATATTTTCTATAATTATAGATACTTCTATTATTATAGATATTTCAAAAAGGATTTGTGAATTAAAATTTTCGAACATACAGATTTAACAATACTGTAAATAAGATTAAAATTACAATACTTGTACTGGATAATTTTGGAACCTATTATTAAAGGTTTACACATTTACACACGTAAAGTCACAACTTACTAATAAAATATCCTACTTTATAGTAAGTAATATTCTTTTTTATAATATTAAAACAATTTGCAAAAATAAATTTACAATTTAAGTTAAATTTATAGAAATATTTACGTATTAATTCACCAACAAAGTACATACATTAATTTTTCTTAAATTATGTTATTGATACGTACAAAAATAAAAATGCAAATATAATATGTGTAATATACTATCAGTATATTATATAATATAATAAAAATCTTTACACATAAAAATTATATAATATACTATTGTAATTTTTCGTCTAATATAAAACGATATTTACACGATTAATGGTAAAAGTAATTAATTTTTTAAAGAACAATTTTATATTATTTTTATATTATATTATTTTTATATTATTTTATATTATTTTATATTATTTTATATTATTTTATATTACCTATATTTTTACTGTTGTAAATTTTACACATATTATTTATGTAATTTTATATACTTTTTTACAGTGCGCGACAGAAGTTGAATACATAAATATTTATATTGTAATACTTTCAGCTATGTATCAGCTATGTAGCATCGTCAAGCGTACCGAGAGAAAAATGTTTAATATTTGTAACAATAATTATATGCTAAAATAAATATGGTTAGCAACTCTATTTTTCAGTTAATTACTGCTACAATTTAGTACAGTTAGTACATGCATAGTTGGCAAAAAAAACAAAAGTGTACAAAAGTGATTATAAATTACAATTAAATTACAATAATTGTAAAACTTCTTTCTCTCAATGAGTAATACAAAATATGTACAGTGCACAAAATATTCTTGGCACGATTTTGGGGCATTTTCAACGCCGTGTCTATCTGTTATAGCGTAAAAACGGACTTGATGGAAGAGGGGGCCAATTCGACTCTCAGCATAGCTAAAGTCGGACCTTCGGATAGCGGAAATTACACCTGCCAGCTTACCACCATGCCGGACCAACCCGCCACAATTCACGTTCACGTTTTGAACGGTGAGGATAATTTATTTCTCGATATTTTTCGATTGCTCTTTTGTGCAATCACTTTTATCATCATAGCGTATGAAATGTACGATGTTGTCATCTAATTCAGTTGCATTATATAGAACGTATCAAAAAACTGCAACAATAAAATTCTTATGGTATATATACAGTAACATCAAGATACAAAATATATGTCGTTACACTAAAACTTGTCCGCTGAATTTTCATACGAAGAAAATTTGAAAATCAAATTAAATAGGACCGAGACAATTTTAATCATAATAATTATTAATATATCAAATAAGGCATTTTTTCAGTTTTATTGAAACAATATCTATACATGTTGATAAAGACGAATGTTCATAAAAAGACTCGAAATTTTTCTTGAAAAATATAGAACAAAACTTTCTAATGTAAAAACTTAAAGTTAAGAGAATATTCTAAAAACAGCGACCGCAAATAAATTACTTTCTTCCTACAGCTTTAACACATTATTCATGAAACCATATCTCGCATTTTTGGCGGCGTTTCCCGTAGCTAACAAGCATACGCGAAATCTGAACTTTCCAAAATGCCTCGTTATCCAAATTGCACCGTTATATTCTATGTAATAATCAATCGCAAATAATATTTTAAAAAAGTCTGCTTATTATACGATATTTTGTAAACGTAACAAAAAAGTTATGATTATTATCAGTGTTCTTTATTATTCATTCCATTTTCTTTATTTTTCTATTAATTTTTTAGCTATTTTTGCAGCTTTCTGTTGCTATCATGAAATTTATTTTACAGAAGAATATATTTCAAAATGCCTGTAAAAATTAATTTACTTACGCAAGGCATACGTAACATTTTACATTTCGCAAATACGTTTGTAGGATTCAGATTACTATAAATTAAGAGCACGTCGTGTAACTAAACGTACTTGTTTATACTGAAACACGTGAAATGTTTATTTTCGTTTCTTTGATGACGCTATTCGAACGATCGAATGTTCAGTTAAACGGTATTTAAATAGGAATTCTGTTGTATTACCTTTGTGTGTGCACACGTATTTTGTTCAATTTGGAGTTGAAATTTGTCTCGAAAAATTTATCGTCGAAATTTAATCTAGTTTTGGAACACAGCCTGTGAAAACTTGTCTCAAACGATTTTGCTAGTTAACGTGATACGAAACAGTCTGATAACAGTTAGAAGGGAATTGTGCTACAAGTCTTAAGTAATTGACGAATTCACAACATTCACCGATGCGCGGTATTCGCGCTTGCTCCCATTACAAAAGCCGAAACGTTTGCTTATAACTCAGTATAACTCTCTCTGTGTAATAGCTGCAGACGCGGCTATTTATTACCGAAGTACACGCTTTTGAAGTATTTAATATTTATCTTGAACTGCGCTCGCAGATGCGCCTAAAAGTCCTCTTGATGTTTGACTCCTACGAGAAAGTTCGCATGTCGAAACTTGTTATAAAGGATCTTCTTAAAACGCTTTCGCGCAGGAACTTGCGACGAAACTAAGTACGCAAGTTGAGTTTTCTGACTATACAGACAAACTTTGCACAAATGCTTTGATGTTGCGACTTATGCATTATGGTTTCCAAGTTAATCTCTGTCTATCAAACTCGTATGACATTTCCCAAGACAAAAAGAAACTCTTGTAAAAAATCCTATAACTTTTTTATTTTATTATATGTTTGTTACTTATTATTACTTATCTTATAATTCTTACAAAAATCTAATACTAAAAAACAATATTTAATTATACTGATCAATGCTTTTAATACTTAAAATAAATAATTAATTACAGTCTTTCAGTATTAAATTGATTGGTATTATATTTAAAATATTAAAATTTAGAATATTAAAAGCATTGTTGTTCAAAATAAATAATTAATTACTGTCTTTCGATATCAAATTAGCCAGTATTAGATTTTTGGGGGTAGTCAAATTAATTTATTTTAGTAGTTTATTTTAAATTTGGGATGCTATTTCTTACACATTCTTACGAAACCTCCATAATAAATAGAACAATTTTCTCGTTTCTTTAACAAGATTGTTCCAATTGTTTTTATTTTCTTTTCAACAGAAGATTAGAAATAAAGATATGTATCATAGTAGAGACATTTCTATCTCACAAAGATAACACAGAATTTCGCCATGACACGATATCGATGACGGGGAGACTCACTTCGCGCAAAAATAGTTTGTTCATAAATTCAAACATCTTTCAGCATATACGATTGTCTGCGACTTCACTTGGAATCAAATGCCTGGGAATTCACGATCCCACAGGAACCTCAGATTACAACATGACTCACGCAAATGTCATTTCGATTATCCTGTGAAGCTTAATATAGACACGACACATCTCAATTGGAACTAAATTGTACAAGATGTTTTGGGTGCTTTCTAACAAGAGACACAGATAACACCGTGTGAACAGTGAATCATTACATCCTTGTTTGCCAATGTTAAACAAAGATGACATGATCACTATGTCACACAGTATCGCTTACTGGAAAGCACCATTTGATACTTGCATTATGTAGCTCCGGCTTTCGTTACAAGCTGATGTTCACTTCAAATGCGTTTAAATTCAATCGAAGCTTACAGTATTTAACAAGAAAACGTTCATTGAAGATCTTATTGCAATAGTAATAGAAGCTAATCCACAATAGTTAAAGTAGTAGTTAAACATGTAAATAAAATTGATGCGTAATAAAGTCCTTTATCCATTTTCTTTATAAAATGAGATTGACAAGCAATTTAATAATTTTATGTTAATGAGCATCTTAGAAAAATTTATAATTTAATGCTAATCTAAACATCTTATTTGTCACAATAATCAGGAGATTCAAGAGATCCGAATCCAGGCTGAAATAGTATTTCTCGCAATAAATTAAATTATTCACAGTTTTTAAGATGCTTATATATAGATTAGCATCAAATTATAAATGTTCTTCTAATGATAAGATACTTATTAGCATCAAAATTATTACATTGTTAGTTTAATATTAATTATTATTATTCTAATTCTGTTTATAATTGAGTTTTACAAAACCGAAAAAGATTTCGGCGCGCGGTTTATAGAATTGTACAAATTCGCTCTGAAATATTTAAACATTAAGGCCGATATTTATAATCTATTCTTTAAGATCGTCTTAAGTAATGTCTTAAGATACCGCTCACTTACATCCACTTTGACTGAAAATTTATTTCTCTTAATTGACAAATAGAGAACTCTGCCACTTATCCTTTCTATATCAATATTAGCTATCATATCTTCAATTACATTGTGGAATAGCCCATTGTTGCTGTAAGCCCTTTTATTGTCTTTTATTAATTATGAGAAATCTTGGATGTTACGATAGTTCAAACTAAGATATTAAATATGTACACTTTAATATTTGTATTAAACGGGCACACACGTTCAAGTAAATTTACAAATTGTGGCCGGTCTAAATTTGTCAAATAATCTTTACGCAAGCATACTTGACAAGTTTATTTGAACATGTGTGGAAGGTCTTAGTCCTTAAATATTTGCATTATGATTTTTGTTTTACACATTATTACGCGTTATAATTTTTATTTTAATTTTTACAAAATATCCGAAAAATATAAATAGCGGATTATTACAATATTATACCTATAATTTATTCATTAAATGTTAGTTAAGTGGGAGGGCCCTGCTAAGCACACAAACGTAAGAATTCTCGACGGTTTCGACATGTCGAAGAAGGATCTGCGAGCATTTCCTTGTGAGTGTTTTTAACACTGTTTCAGGAGAAAGTTTAGCCGAGTTACATCATAGCGGTGCACGGCTCGTTCGAGCGGATGCCACTAGCTCGTCACTATTCTTCCTGGCTGCTGTTCTAGCCCGATCAGGTCAGGTGCTCAGATGAAGGCTTGAACAGCTTCCTTGGGTATCACGAAAACTGCCCGGATTGGTGAGAGAGCACTTCGTGACGATGACAAAGGGACAGTGCTCCTCAACGATGAACGAAACGTTATCACCTATGCACCGCACGAACTTTTCTATTATCGTGACGAGAGTGTGAACATGAGGGCCAAAGTGGGAGTGTGTTACGTTACTATATTACGTTGACATAAAAGACGTAGGCGAAGAGACAGAGGCGGTTGGCTGCGTTATTTTGAAACGTTATTCTAAACGCGATATGGATCGTTCGACATTTGCGAGATTCATGTCAGAGCGTTTCTGTATCGCAAAATAATACCTTCGTCAATTCTCAGCACAATTTTATTCAAGCGTTTATACATGGGATTACAATTTTCGACGCAGGATAGACGCCTCAGTGAACGGCCAGTTTTAATCTCTTTAGCTAATTAATTCGTCCGAGAACAATATTCATCAATGTACTCATTTATAAGAATATTATGGATTTAATTGTTATTTGTTAAAATGTGATAAGTCGTTTACTAATGTGCCTGTCTCATTTTTAGCTCGGCTCGATCAAATTTCACTTCGTGAAATTCCATTAGGCTTGAATATTTCTGTGCGACACCGAACAAGACGCGCTCGTACCGACTAAATTACCGCAAGCATAGCATGCTGCTTACCAGATGCGAAGCAAATTATTCGGTCATTGTGAAACGATACGGCGACGCTATTAACATCGATCGTGCTGTTTGGTGTGCATTTGATTATTCGATATTAGCACATTGGTAAGTTATCATAGCGCAATCGCTCTCGCAGCTAGAAATGACCAAAGCTATAATAAAATCATAAATCTGCGTATAATCGAATAACCAATAACCGGTAAACAATAAAGGCTCGGAGCACAAACTGCTAACCGAGTCATTGGAGTGACTGCCATCGCGTATCACTATGGCTGTGATAATCGAGACAAATTGCGCTGTTCAATTCGGCCTCCATCCATCACTATTCATACCATTATATTACGAAATTCTCGGCATCCAGCGGAGCATTTTTTTTTTTTTTTTTTTTTTAGCGTAGAACGAGTGTGAAGATTCACACGGGACTCGCAAATTTTTCAATTAACGGGATCACGAGCTTTCATCGTTTTATCGAATATTATTTTATTATTGATAATTAAAAAACATTTCATCGACAACATTGGTTATCGGTCTATCGGAGACTGTTGCCTATTGATAGGGTTTGTTGAATATTTCGAGATTATTTTGATTATTATAATGAATTATCATTGTTAATTATAATAATAATATGATATGAATGCATATATATATTATGCGCGCTGTAAATTAAATTAATCTATAGTAACTTTTAATGAAATGTACTAAAGAGAGAATGATTAAAGCAGACAGTGCATCGACTGCGTCTGCTTACCAATATCGGTGCCCGTTCTTTGTGACAGGGTGTTAACGTATTGTATGTTTGTATAAATTATAAAGTCGCCAAGATACATATTCAGATGCTATGTTTTTTATCATATATGGAAACAAATACGTATCATAATTTCATAATTTTCGTGTCTCGTAATTATATTATTTCAACAGAAAAATGTAAAATATGGCTTGCGTAAACATCATCTGAATATGTGTTGTACAGTGATGAAGGTACGCTTGTCTTTCATGCAGCCAACCAAATCTTTATGCTATGAAAGTGTGTCTGCTGTATACATGTAAGAAAGAAAGAGAGAGAGAGAGAAATTGCGCGCCATAATATATAAATTTAAGTCGAACCTAACGTTTTATCGTGAGGAAAACGAAATCACGTAATATACAATATGCGTTTTACAAGAACTGGCCTTGTCTCTTTGTATGCCTCACAGTGCTAATTTCAGAAGTTTAATCTAAATGATAATCAAACGTAATCTTTCAGGTAAGTAATATACTCTGAATAAAATTTTAAAACTTTAAAAGGCATATACATGGTGACATAAAAATTTGTATAAAGTTTTGTGTATTTTTTAAATTATTATAAATAGCAAGCTAACATTATTAATTACACTAAAAATTTTAATATCCACGACAATTGACATCAGCTTGCCACGAAGTAGTATAATATATATTTATAAAAAATCCTTAACTATTAGTTATATTATTTATTATTCTTTTGAGATCATCTCTTTTTATTTTATAAATTATTCACTCAATTTTTATAAAATTTGGTCTATAGAGAAATTTTTTATAATTAATGCTTTATTCGAATCTGAAGTCAAAAATTAAAAAATTCAAAATGCTACATAATATGACGGACAAAATTTTAAAAAAAATTTGATTATCATAAAAGTCGATTTTAGAGAATTTTTAATTGTGAAATATACATATGACAAATTTCCAGTTTTGCTTATTAGTGCACTCCGTAAACAATTAATACTGATCAGTTAATAGTTACTGATTTTCAAACTGACTTTCACACACTGATTAAGAACTCTGTGACTAGATCCTCTGTCATGGAGGTTACTACTCTATTGAAATTTGATATTTTCATGTCACATTCAAACTCAGAGATATCAAAAACCTTCTAAATCCGAGTTTCACAATAATTAGTATTATTTTTATTATTCATTTTTATATTATTCACAACAATTAGTATTATTTTAATATTTCTTTTTTAATTTGAAAAATTCTAAGACTAGAATCGAATTCAATTCCGAAAAGACCTTTAAAAAGTAAAATCATCCATAAGTTACCTTGTTAAAAAGCTCTGGTCCTTAAAGAGATAAATAAAAATAAAAGAACTTATACCAGAAAAGATTTTTACGGATGAACTGAAAACTAATCTATTGCCTAGGAAAATTTATCCGAAGAAGAGATGCGCGGTCATCATTGATACATTCTCAAAGCATCTTAAATTGGGTGAGTTCAAATCAACAAAACGACTAGCTCTACTCGCTGAGCAATTAAATATAATTAGTTGGATCCACAGGTAAGAACCAATCATGCTCATTCACTCAACAAGCATGCCTAGCCACTTTGCCGATTTGAATTCGCCCATTGTATCAAAATTAAAGGTGGATATTTTGAATGTCCATCAATTATAATTTTTTATTTAATAAAATATAATCAAATTAATCTAATTTAATTAAATTAATCTAATTAATCAAATGTAATTTTATTAATCTAATTAATCTAATTTAATCAAATATAACAGTCCACATACAGTTTGTTGTTTTTTTTTTAATGTGCATTACTAATGATTTAATAAACACAAAACTATGTGGTCAAACTTTTTTGTCATCCTGTTATAATAAAAGTTATAGTAGCACTTGAAAACATCTTGACGTAAAAATGCTTCAAATCCCATTTTCTGTAAATTTCAGATTACATTCCCTTTTACATAACATTTGTTTGATCATGTTAAAGGATTGTCACGCTTTGACTTATTTGAATCGGAAAAAGTATCGGATTTGACAATGTATATACGCCACACAAAGCAGAATGTAGGATCGTTGACGCAAAATCGTGCGCGTAGTTTTGTAAATCGAGCATAGCGAATTAGAATTCCGCACGTACAGCTGACGTTGACGACATCGTCTCTTCCGTAGTTTGTGTCGCGTATCTCGTTCAAACGAGGCATTTCCTCTCTCACTCGGAGCTTACTCGATTTGCAGCTACAACGCGACCCAGAATACATATGCGAGATTTTCATTGATTGGAAAACGAAGAGATGTCTGAAACACTAGTCCTATTTGCAAACCTTTATGAAAATTCTCGAGTAAAAATTATTTCTAAAACACTTGGCTGGAAACACTTGGAAGCTTCTCAAATTATAGTACATAAATATAGAGTATATATTTAGTCTTTAAAGAACGGGGATTTTTATTTTCAAAATTTTATAACTTTTCCTTGATTTAAATTTTTAGATTATAATTCGTTATATGTCATTATGTCCTTTGCCTCAAAATATAACACTATTTTAGTGCATTATACAGGCTTTTCCAGTTCTGGAATATATTGGACTGAGCCATCAAAAAGTGGGTGTGCCTCAATTCCTAGACAATGGCACTCTGATGCAAAGATTGTACTATTTTCTTTGTCAGGGATTCATTAATTGATTAATAATATGTTTTATAATATAGTAGAAAAGAGTCAGAAAAACAAGTATTTGTTTGCTTTACTTTTCTTCATCGGGCCACAATTTTCTATATTTTATTATAAAATGTGCGCTCCAGTATATTATAAAGTTCATTAGTATTTCCTATAAAGATTAAGTTTTACTTTTTAAAAAAATTGGATGACTATGGGAAAAATATTCACAGTTCAGTTATAAACACATTATACAATGAGAGTAAATACGTGTAACTTCAGTTTATTAGATTCCAACTAATAAGGAGAACTAAATTCTAAGGACTAAATTAGATTCTGAGGATTCTAAGGAAAACGTCATTAAACGTACGAGTCTGTGGTGCTTCTCTTGAGAGAAATATCAGACACGCGCAGTGCTTACGCGTTTTATGAAAGGAAGGTATGACTCAGCTCTTACTCATACGTCCAGCTTCGGTCAGTTAACAAAGCATTGCACCCTTCCGTACAAACGCACAGGCCACTTTCACGCCCAACTGCGATTAAAGGAGCGACTGTAAAAATAACATAGTCAAATTCCAACATTTGCTAGTATTCTCGTTTGCTAACCTCGACCGAGATTTAACGAGGTTTGAACGTGAACCAAAAACCGAGATTGAGCCGTGCTCCGCCGTTCCGGAGTAAGACCCATTTCCGGGACGACGTTCCGTTACTTATCGTACCGCGTGTATATGGTAGAACGGTCGCGCTCCGCCTCTCATCGGGAAATTGAAGCCAGCGGAACTTATCGTCATCCCAAGCCGCAAGTGGGATACGCCGCGAGTAACGTACGGAGTATATACGCGGGAAGTAGCTCGGATAGTACACCGACAGATTGGACGTGGCTCCATCGATCTCGTCGTTGGACCTCCAGGAACTCTATTCATTCGTGCGCGGTCCGCCGACATCCAACGAACGAGATTCTTCGTCTTCCGAGGGTAACTTTTCACGTTCCCTTTCGAAAGCTCATTTAAAAGCAACGACATTCGAAAATTTTCTTCAAACACTGTGCGAGTACTTTCAAGAATTTTACCGAAATAAATACATTGACATTTGTCCGCAATGACAGCCTTATCATTTAATATTAGTCAATTATAATATACGTTGATAATATATATAATTAATTAGAAATATAAAATATATAATCATATTTTAAAACTATAAATTGATTTTTAAAGATTAAAAGAAGCAAAATCTGAGAAATTTTTTATTATACAAAAAAGAGATTTAGCTACAGATCTAAAAATAATATTTTGTTTGATCCATCAAAAGAATTATGTAGAAGATTCAACATTGGTTGTTACAATGTCAAAACTTTTCCAACATTGCTCTTTATGCTTGAGATTCCTACGTAATTATTTTAATAATTTAACAAAATTATTTTCTGTATTTAGCAAAATTTTTAAATATTTTTACAAAACCAGCCTTTTCATGTATTAATTATTGATTTTTTTATATCACTAGAAATTTAAATGCCTATAACAATAGAAATTGGATTTTTAATGTTTAAATATTATAATTCAATGTAAATTTTATATATGTATATACTATATGTGTTGGTACATGCATATATACTATATTTGTAGTCATTCTTATCATAATCATTTCTTATTTTTTATATTACTAATTAAGGATTAATATATACACAATTGGAAAATTTGTATTTAAATTTATTACTTTTCACGAATCAAATGATCCACTTAAATTTTTGTAATGTAATACAAGTTGAATATGTTAAAAAACAATACAAATATTATTTTAAAAAATTAACGTACAAAATGTAACACACTAATATAATTTGTAAGCAAACTGTGGAAGCATTTTTTTCAATAAAATTAACATTTATGATATTTTAAATTAACATTTATTTATACATACATTTATCTTAAAATTTACGTTTTAAAACATATATTTATATTATTTGCTCACTTACTTATAAATTGTGTTATTTTAACATTAAAAAATGTTGAATATCAATTTAATATAAAATATTCAAATAACATAATTGCATTATAATGTGTAAATTATATATATATATAATATATATATAAAACTCAGATATGTTAAAAAAATCACCAAAAAATGTTGACAAAGGCTCGAATGGACCGTTTCTAATATAAATACAAAATATTATGGTAGCCACATACACTAGAGATATAAAGGTGTCGTTACATTAAAATTAATTATTATTAAAAATTATTAAAAT